GATGGCTCAGTGGAATAAGCGCTTCCTTGGCAAGCGCAAGGGCCTGAGTTCAATCCCTGGTTCCGCCAAAAAATAAAAAATAAAAAAATAAAAAAATAAAATAAATAAAAAATAAAAACAAGTGAGCATAAACTGAAAAGGAGCTCTCTTGGCCACTGTCACTGAAGTGTACTTCAAATTTTTCTTATAGATTTTTGCAACTAATTTCCCTAACTTGATTATAATTAAAGTTCTGCATATATCAATTCCTATTTTTAAATCATCACTGTAATTTGGGAAGTTCTGGTGGCTGCATCAGTCCTCTGCCTGTGGAGACTGACCATCTACAAGCAGCTTCTTGGAACCTCAAATTCAGTTCCTTCCTACGTAACTGCATGAGGAAACAGATCACACAGCCAGCCTTTCACTGAAGTTACTGAACACTCAGCAGGTGCTCATGTTTTAAGATCTTGAAGTTAACAGAAAGGAAATCTTTGTAAAACTCTTGCAACCCAATTGATGAGCACAGGTGAAGAACACAGGATTGTTAAATTTGTGCTATGTTTCAATAGCTTCATAAACTGGTCACTTGTGGTCTTTGCATGTGTATCCTGAGGGATTTTAGCAGCGGAACTCATAACTCTTTGTCTTATTTTGAGAGAGGGTCTCACTTTGTGTCCCAGGCTGGCTTCAAACTTGCATCGATCCTCCAATCTCAGCTTCCTGAGTGCTGGAGTACAAGTGTGTACCACCATGCCTGGCCATAGTTCCAGTTTTTGAAGGGAAGAACATCAAAAAATTAGGACATGGTTTTTAAGCTACCACACTATGTATTTACTGAACATCTCTCCTAATGTTCTCCATTTTATTATCATAAAAAATATTTTTGCAATGCTGGGGATGGAACCCAGCATCTTTAACTTTTCGGATAGTCTCGGTATATAGTTTGAGCTGGCCATGAACTTGGGGTGATCCTCTTGCCTCTGCCTCTGGAGTGTAGGGATTATAGGTGTGCATCACCAATTCTGGTCACCTTGTAGCTGCTCTTCACCTGAGCACACGCATCCCTCCCACTGCCCTCTCTTCTGCCCCATCTTGCCACCTCTATTTTTTTTTTTTGTAGCTCTGCCTCTGTAACCTGTCTGTCACTAAAAATCTAAGACTTTATTCATACTTCTTAGAACCACAAAGATAATTTAATACTGTTAAAATGAACCAGAGCCTTTTGGCCAGAACCGCCTTCTTCCAGTAATTGCCAAAATGACTAACACAAAGGGCAAGAGGAGGGGAACTTGGTATATGTTTTCCAGGCCTTTTAAAAAACACAGGGTTGTTCCTTTGGCTACATACATGCGAATCTACAAAAAGGACGATATTGTAGACATCAAGGGAATGGGTACTGTGCAAAAAGGAATGCCTCACACGTTACCAGGGCAAAACGGGACGAGTCTACAACGTTACCCAGTATGCTGTTGGCATTGTTGTAAACAAGCAAGTTAAGGGCAAGATACTTGCCAAGAGGATTAATGTGTGTATCGAGCATATTAAACACTCAAAAAGTCATGATAGCTTCCTGAAACGTGTCAAAGAAAATGATCAGAAAAAGAAGGAAGCCAAAGAGAAAGGTACCTGGGTTCAGCTGAAACGCCAGCTTGCCCCTCCCAGAGAAGTGCACTTTGTGAGGACCAATGGAAAGGAACCGAGTTGTTGGAACCCATTCCCTATGAATTCATGGCATAAACTGGGGACATTGCTTTGCCATTCAGTACCTAATTGGCAGCTTAAGTGTTCTAGGTCCTATGTAAAAATAAAATCATCCTGTGTTGTAAGGGTGGTTTTCTTAGTTGAACAGGAATATGGTACCTTCTTACCTCAGAAATATTTGCAGCAGATTTTCACTAGACAGAGTAATTGTCTAGCCTTTATTCTTTAGTATTTTCTTGCTGAAAGATATTGCTGAGGTATTGTGCAGGTGTATACCCAAAAATTCAAATATTTATAAAGTATTTATATTGGCTTGAAGGTCCTGTAAATCATCATGGGGAAAAGATGTATCAAAATAAATGGAAGTCATTTCAGAAACAAACTTAAGTCCATTTCAGTTAAATAAATTGTTTAAAGCACACACACACACACAAAATGAACCACAGCATCTCAATGTCATGCTTGAAGATGATTTAGCAGGTGTCACTGTCACATCTGTGGCCCTTGGGAAACATTCAGATGAACGTGTTCTAATGGCATGAAGGGTAGTCACCTCTGGTGCACCTGTCTGCTGACACCACCCAGGATCCCCACAAAGGCAGCCTCTGGAGAAGGGGTGAGCTGGCCCTGTCCTAGTCACCTCCCCAGGCTCTGCTGCAAACCCCACTGCTCTAAGGACCCAGGCCCCAAGGTGAGTGTGGTCTGGCTGTGTGTCCTTGGAGACCTAATCACCAACCAAGGCACTGATGCCATCCTGCATGTGCAGTGAGGCTCCAAGCCCCAGAGATCGGGCCCAGTTACCTCACAAACCCCACCAGAAGGAGACCCTCTGGTCTACAACTTTCCAGCTGTCACAGCATTGTCCTTCCATTGGCCACCACTGGGTGAGCATGGCCCAAACAATGACAGCCCAAGACAGGCAAAGGCCAGATGGGCCCTAAGCAGTGGACAGGTTTTCCAGCAGCATGGACAGCAGGGTATCCAGGACATTGTCTCCTACTATGTTAAAGCAGAGTTGGAAAAGTGCAGCAGCAGCCCTGTGGATTGTGCTGAGTGGGGGGATCACCTGCACTTACCTCAATTCTTCTCCTTAGAGGCTGGGGAGATAACTTAGTGGAATAAGTGCTTGCCTGGCAAGCACAAGGTCCTGAGTTCGATCCCTGGTACCACAAAATAATAATATAATAAATTTTAAAAAATTATTCTGCTTAACTGTTGGCAGCAACCACAACTTTATTTTAAAAAAAAATTTAAAAAAGGCCATGCTGGGTCTGGTGGCACATGCCTGTAATCCCAGCACTCCAAGGCTGAGGCAGGAGGATCCATGAAAATTTAAAGCCAGCAAGGGTTTGCATTCAAACAACAGTTTGGGACAGTGAGACTGTCCCAAAACAACTCACACTTTCTGCAAGCTACAGGGGTCAAACTCTGCAGCAAGACCAAACAAAGTAGCACACACCAGTAATCCCAGAACTTGGGAGGCTGAGGCAAGAGAATCATTGCCAGTTTGAGGCCAGCCTGGGCTACAATGTGAGCTCAAGGCCAGCCTAAAGTGCAGAGCAAGACCCTGTGTCAAAAAGACAAAATCAAAACAACAACAAAAACCATGCCAGAGTTGGGGAGACAGCTCATTAGTGTAAGTGCCTGCTTAGCAAGTGCAAGAACCTGCATTAAGTCCCTTGTAGCAGCTCTGAAACCACATGTGGGTGCATGCCCATAATCCCAGCATTTGGGACATAGATAAGTAATTAAAAAAGAAAGAAAGAAAGAAAGAAAGAAAGAAAGAAAGAAAGAAAGAAAGAACCAATGCCAACAGGCAACCTTTGCAGCTCCCCCTGGGAGCAGATTCTGTATGTCAAAATATGGTAATTGGAAAAAAATTCCAATTTAAAAATAGCTGGATAATTCAGGAAGAGGGAATCATTTCCAGGATGATGAAATATTTCTGAAGTAAAATACTATGAAGTGCAGGTACAATAAGGGATGGGGAGGAGGTTCTTTCTGAATACGAACCATCTAAGAATACAGCAGTTCAATCAATAGAACTTTGAACCCTACCACTATGCGAAATCCTTTCCAGACCTGCCTTGGTTCTGATTTTATTTTTAAAAATAAACATTTGTGCAAAAACCAATCCACAATGAAGAAAAACTCCAATTTAAGTCCTGGGTCAGCAGCAGTGTGCTCTTTGGGGCCCTTTGAAAGCTGGCGGGGCAGGGGTCTGGAGAACTAATGTGGACTGTCTGCCCTTTGCCTAACGGCTGCATTACAATATTACCTGCTGTGACTGCTGAGTTCCGGGGTGCCCCTGTTTTGCTCTTACGGCAATAAAGGCCTCTGCCTCCCGCATGTCACCCGGGCCCTGTGAGCCTGCAGTCCAGAAGCCGGAGATCAGGCCCCTGCGGGGGCGTGACTTCTGCCTCGTTTTTCCTTCTTCCACTGCCTTTGAAGTACTGGCCTTCACCGCAGGGACTTTGCATTGCACTACATCCCAGCCCCTTTCAAATGTGTTCTATTTTAGGACAAGATCTAGTGAAGTCTCCCTGTTAGGCTTGAACTTGTGGTTCTCCGGCGTCCGCCTCGGGATGGTGAGGCAGCAAGGCCGTCGGGCCAGGCCAGGCTGTCCCTCCGTGTGGCTTCGCCACTGCTGGGGCCAAGAGTTCCACCGCGCCGGCTCTCCGGCAACGCCCCTCGCAGCTTCGCCGAACCTCCGGGCCACCAGCCGCAAAGCAAGCTCGTTGCGCCTCGCCTCGGAAGTAGCGCCCGGTCGGAACTGTGGCCTCCTTCCCGCGCTTTCACTCCGCACACCAGACCAATCACGGTGCCGCGCCTTCCGCACGGACCAATAAGAGTGCACCACTGTCAGTGGTGGGCGGGTTACCGGCGACCGTTACCCGGGGTGCACCGCGGCTGCTCGGCACTGCGTCGTAGGTATAGAGGCTGGGGTGGCTGCTGAGCGCTTGCTCGTGGAGGTAGGGACTGCGGCCCAGGTGAGAGGTGCCACGGCGTGGATGCGGGGCGGCGGGCGGGGGCCAGGGTGGTGATCTCCACGGCTCAGGAGCCGGCAGTGGCGAGGCGGCGGGGCCGTCGCGGGTGGCGAGGCGGCTCAGGTGGTGGGGGTGGCGAGGTTGTGAGGTCCGGGCAGGTCTGTTCCTCTGTGCAGCTCCGCACCACACTTCTGGCACCCAGAACTCACTAAGATACCCCAGGAGCCAGCAGAACTGGCCTAGAGGACACGTTATTACTGGGGAGGAGGGGGTTAGGAACTTGCTTGACCCATCCTGGAAAGGCCGTATCTAGGTGGAAGCCACGGACACCTGATGCGCAGGCGCGCTGCGCAGGTAGCGTCGTGAGGCACAGGAAGCGGTGGAACCCTACCCCCATCTGACTGCAGCCAGGACCTGCAGTTTGGGAGGGCTGAAGGCCATGGGGTGCGTGTGCACTTGCCCAAGTGCTTAGGAACAGTGAGACTGTTGCTCAAAATAAAAATTTAAAAGGGCTAGGGATGTAGGGCAGTGCAGAGGTCCTGGGTTCAGTCCATGCACACACACCCACACACACACACACCTCTACCTACTTACACAGGAAATCCACAAACAGATAGGATTGGGATAAGCACAGAGTGAAGGTAAACACAGCCGAGACTGATGTAGGGTCATCTAAGACTCAGATTTTAGTTGAGGGTCAGGGAGATGGCTCAGTGGAATAAGCGCTTCCCTGGCAAGTGCAAGGGCCTGAGTTCAGTCCCTGGTTCCACCAAAAAAAAAAAAAAAAAAAAAAGCAGATTTTAGTTGATCTGAAATCAAATAACGTTCTGGTGATAAATTTTAAGCAGTAGGGTGAATGGATAAGGTTTAAATTTGGGGACGAGAGGTCTTTCCAGATCCTGTGGAAATAAGATTGAAATTGATGAGGCAGGATAGGGAGGTGAAGAGGATGTCAAGAGAGTCCTGAGTTCTGTGGCTCATTTTTAAAATAAAGGATTTATAGGGGCCGGGGAGATGATTCGGTGGAATAAGCGCTTCTCAGGCAAGCGCAAGAGCCTGAGTTCAATCCCAGGTTCCGCCCTTAAAAAAAAAAAAAAAAGGTGGGGAGATAGCTCGGTAGAATAAGCGCTTCACTGGCAAGCACAAGGGCCTGAGTTCAATCCCCAGTTCTACAAACAAAAAATAAAATAAAGGATTTTAGGCTGAGTTTGGTGGTGCACACCTGTGATCCCAGCACGTGGCAGGCTGCGGCAGGAAGATTGCTGCAAGTTGTAGGCCAGCCTGGAACCTGTCTTCAAAAAGACAAAAATTAAGTAAATAAAAGGATTTAGTTGTAGTAAGTAATAAGAGTTTTTGTAGGAACTAGACTTTTATCCAGATATATTATTTGCAAGTATACTTGTTATATTAAGATTTTCAAAGCAGAATTGAATGCAGAATCATAAATGAGAATAGCTTTAGACAGTAGATTTGCAGAATGTAAAATAGTGCTGCTTTTCTCACCAGTCTTTAAAAATTGTTTTAAATTTGAAATGTTGAGTTTACTATTTATAAATATTTAATTTTGATATGGCAAGTTTACTCTTGAGATCTCAATACTTTTGATGAGTAGGATGAGTTGTTGAATCTAAAATGTAAGAACCAGGTGTAGTACCGCACATGTGGTCCCAGCACAGGAGGAGCCCTGTGATCTCAAGCCCAGCATGAACTACATAATGAGACCCTGTCTGAAAAAAATCAAATATGAGAAACTACCTAATCTCATCAGAGTTACTTTGATCAACTAGCACTCTTTTAATCATAGTTTATATTTAAAACATTTATTTTGAAAAATATTTATTTGTAGAGTATGGTTTTTGTTGGCTTAAATTCCTTAAGCCAGAAGTTATTCTTTTTTTTTTTTTTTTTTTTTTTTTTTGGGAACCGGGGGTTGAACTCAGGCCCTTGCGCTTGCCGAGAAGCGCTTATTCCACTGAGCCATCTCCCTGTCCCCCAGTTATTCACATCTTTATGTCTAGTTTGGAGATAGTATTTAGTAGTTCAGAAATCTTTGAAATATGTATATGTTCATTTGCATGAAGAAATGAGTCTGTGAATTTTCCTTCTTTTTTTTTTTTTTTTTTTTTGGCGGAACTGGGGATTGAACTCAGGCCTTTGCACTTGCCAGGCAAGCGCTTATTCTACTGAGCTATCTCCCTAGCCCCTCTTCCCTCTTCCTATCCCTATTTTACTTTTCAGGGAAGCTTCAGGGTACTGCCAGATGTATGTCTCACAGTATTGACTGAGCTCCACCTCCTATCAGATCACCAATGGTATTAGATTCTCATAGGAATGAAAACCCAACCATGAATTGTACATGTGAGCAATGTAGATTGTGTATTTCTTTGAATCATCTTGGACACCCTACCACTACATCACCCTCACTTTCCATCCATGGAAAAATCATCTTTCATGAAACCAGCTCTTGGTGTCAAAAATTGTTGGGGACCACTACTTTATTGTGCAGACTTGGACCTTTAGTACAATGTCAAGTACAAATAGAATAAACGTCTGGTTTTTGACAAAATAACTCAGTGTTTCATCATCAAGTAGAATATTAGCTTTAGGGCTTTTCTTTTTTTGTTCTTGTACATAGCCTTGAATGGAGGGAATTCCCTGTGGCTTTCTGGTTTGCCAAGGAATTTTTGTCAGGAATGGATTTTGTATTTTTAAAATACTGGCTTTTTTCCCTGCATTTAAAATGATGATGTGATTTTTTTTGTGTTTTAAAGACAGTCTCACCACACAATTCAGGATGGCCTTTAGCTCACTTTGTAGCTCAGGGTGGTCTCAAAATCACAACAAACCTCCTGCCTCAGCCTTCCAAGTGCTGGGTTACAGGCCTCTGCCACCGCACCAAGCTCATTAATTTCTTTTCTCCTCTGTTTTATTGTAGTGAATAGCATTGATTCATTTACTAAAGTTCAACCATAGTTGCATTCCTGGGATAAGTAACACTTGATCAGAATGGATTATACTTTTTATTTCATTTTATTTTGCTTTGCAAAAAAAATTAATGCATGTGTTAATTGTACTAAGTACCTACATATGACTATAAAGAAAGTATTGGATTTTTAAAAGCTCCTTTAGGCAGGGGAGATGGCTCAGTGGAATAAGTGCTTCCCTAGCAAGCGCAAGGGTCTGAGTTCAATCCCCGGTTCCGCCAAAAAAAAAGTTACAAAAACTCCTTTAGAATGTCCTCAGGTAATTTCATATTAAAATTATGATGACCTCATATAACATGTTAGGATGTTTTCTCTTTGAATTCTGGCTGTTTTTCTACTTTAGTTGATGGATGAAATTTAGCAGTGAAACCATCTATGCCTCACGTCTTATTTTTGGAGGGGAAGTCCTTAATTTTCAACTTGATTTCCTTAAGGGATATGGGAGTGTCAAATTGTTTATTTCTTGTATGTTGGGAGGAGGTTGTGGTTTTCAAGTAAGTATGCTCATCTGTATTGTAATATTAGATATATTGTGTTTTACACCCCTTTTTTCTTTTTTCTTTTTTTCTTTTTGTATTTTAGGGAAGGGTCTACAGGGTGTTCAGGGTCTCACTACTAGATTGGACTTGTAGTGATCCACCTGTTTACAGCCTCCCAAGAGCTGGGATTACAGGTGCATGCCACCATGCCCAGTCTCAATTGCCATCTCAGCGTGCCCCAGGGGACAGGGCCAGCAGGACCCTGTTTTTTTTAAATGTCTGTTCGTAGGTTTTTTAGTGATATCTGTTATTTAGGATGTTGATAATTTGGGTTCTCTTTTTTTTTAGAAAAGTTTATTTATTTTGAGAAATAAATATGAGATAGTTTCACAAGTGATTAAGAGGACAGTTTTGATAATCAATACATTGTACATTGTTATCTTCTTAGTGGTTATCCATAGTACAAGAAGCAGACAGGATATCCTGTCCAAACACTATTAGTACACCTCTTTCTTATCATTGAACTAAGTGAAAGTAGCTGTATATTTATCCTAACTATTTTGTAAATATAAATACAAAATGATCTTTCCTTTGTATCCTGTTTTTTAAATCCTGTCAGAGGT